TTGCCTCTGTCTAGCTAGTCAACCCAGCTGCAGCAGGCCCCCACACTTGACCCTCCGAGGAGAACCAGCGAGAGCTTTTACCTTCCCACTGGGTTCCTGCTTCTCTCTGTCTTCTAATGTTTCTGGTGAAAAGGCATATAATTTCCTTCCTCCACTTGTGTGTCCATCCACTAGAGCCTGGACAAGGACATCTAGGATTCCAGCAGTTAGGTTAAATTTTGCCACTGGTCTGTCTGATTCTGAGCATCCCCTGACCCCTTTCTGTCATTGTGCTGGCACCCCTCTCCCCAAAGCAAGAAGGGCCACACAGGACTGAAGGCACTTGGGATTTTTCTTTGTTTTATGTATTGTCCAGCCAGAGTTCCTCACTGAGTGTCCAGTCTGCTGGCAATGGGCCTTCCCCACTCAGTCGGGCTGGACCTCAGAAAGCAGAGGACCTAGGGAGGTACTTGTCCCCCTGCTCTCTGCCCTTGTCAGATCCCAGATGGGGGGACTTGGTCAGCCTGGGCCATCCTGGTCCAGAAAGGCCATTGAAAAGCCAGACCGTTTCTAAGGGCCGGTGACCAGGAGAGAACAGATCTCTGTGCTTGGCACAGAGTAAGCTAGTAACAAAGGCTTAGTTGTTGACCAGTTATGCTGGGCTAGCTCTCCTCGGGTGCAGAGGGCAGAATTGGGGCTGTAGAGGCATGAGGAGAAGGGAGGTGCAGAGAAGCAAGCTGAGGTTCAGGGCAAGGAAAAACTCCAACAATGAGTCATCCTAAAGACTGGGCTGCCTGGAAGGAGGGCTGAACTCCTTCTCACCGGAGCCCTTCAATGGGAGGCCAGCCCACCACTTGTTGGGAGGAGGGAGTCCAGGAGGCATGCATTTAGGGTGCCAGTTGGATCAGGTGCCTCTGAATGAGGTCTCTTCCGATTCTGCAAGTCTATTCTCCTGCCGCACCAGGTTGTTTGTACAGACTTTTCAGGTTCCCTGCCCCTCCCCGCCCCCCATGATGTCTTGAAAAGCCTGCTAGGAGGGATTTGGGACAGCTCCTAGGTAATGGCTGGCTGCATTCACAAGGTCTGTGTGGCCAGAGAGCTAGAGCTGAGTGCCTTGGAGACACAGGAGGGGAGAAGCTCCCAGGGACGCCTAGCACTGCTGGCACTCCCTAGGCCATGAAATGCTTATGGACGGCTCACTGGGCCTGAGACCTGACAGGAGGATCAATGGCGGGCACCTCTGCTTGTTACATTGTAGACACAAGGTGGCAACATACCGTTACATTCCTTGTATGAGGCTGTAGGCATGTCATAATTCATGTGGCCCTGTATGCATTATAGGACAGCTAGGTAGCGCCAAAGTGCACAGAGCGCAGCCTTGAGTCAAGAAGACTCATCTCCCAAGTTCAAATCTGACCTCGGACACTTACAGGGTTACTGTGTGACCCTGGGCAAGTCACCTAACCCCTGTTTGCCTCAGTTCCTTTTCTGCCAAATGAGCTGGAGAAGGTAATAACTAACTACTCCAGTATCTCAGCCAAGAAAACACCAGCTGGGACCATGTGGGCAGACACGGCTGAAAAGAACGTTGTTCTCCACCACGGATCGCATGCGTTCCATGTTTCTGCACGTTCTGGGGGAGCTGGCCTGTCCACTGGCCTGCAAAAAAATCATCACAGGAAAACATCGAAGAATTACAGGCCTCTAAAACCAGAAGGGACCTGAAGGGACGCCTAATCCAATTCCAAGTGAAGACATGGGGGCCCGTAGAGGGGAAGAGACTTGTCTAAGGTCACACAGGCAGGAAACATCAAAGGTGGGAAGCAGGCATTGCCCTACTGGAGGGACGGACTATCTTCTGATCTGTAACTGTATCCTTCATTACTGAAAAAAGAAAATGGCTCTTCATCTATCAGCTGGTGGGGACTGTGGATGGCTCAGGTCATGAAATGTTTGTTCCGGCTGCTGCCTGCCATCAGATCTCGGTTTATTGCCAGCTACCTTCCATCAGAGATCCTGGGGCCTAGTGTCTGCCCAGCACCTCAGTGATGTGCGCCCCGGCCGTCACCAGCCCAGCCTGGTAGCGCCCAGCACCGAGGTGATGTGCGCCCCGGCTGTCACCAGTGCCCACTCTCTCACCAAGCGCTCTACTCCACAGTCCTTTAGGGGCACCTGGCGTTGAGAGGTTCTTATACCTCATGGGAACAAAATGCTGGTGGAAAGCCCCTGACATCCGTGACAATGGCCAGTTCTGAGAGAAGCTCAGCGGAGCGGGGGGGAGGGGGGGGTTGTCGGAGCATGCTGAGCTTTCCTCCAGATGCTGGCGATCTGTGCTGGTAGGGCAGGGCTGGCTCCCAGGGTGAGGTCATAGCTGTTTGCTTCCCAAGGACAAGGGGCTCTAGGTGGCCTGGGCTTGTGAGGAAGGAGGGTTTTGCCCAGCTTCCTTGCGAGCCCTCTGCAGCAGGGGTGCAGAGAGGAACGCCTTTAGTTCCAGAAATGATCTGCCTGGCCAGAGCACAGCACAGCAGGAAGCCTCATCTATTGCCCACAATAATGATAATAACATTGATAGAGCGCTTACTCTATGGCAGGCGCCGTGCTGAACACTTGGTAATTAGTATCTCATTTGATCCTGCCACAGCCCGGGAGGGGGGCGCTCCGCCCTGAGGATGGATGGGGAGGTTTGTCGGCAGCCTCTCAGCTTACCCCTCGCCCCCCTTGCCGTGCACTCCTCTTCTCTGAGCCCCAGTGCACCATGGGAGCCACAGTCCTTTCCTTTACCCTGCACCTGTGTCTTCCCACTCACTCTCTACTCCTTTGGAGCCCAAACTGCTGCTAATTGACAGGTCTGAGCTGGGAAAGGGCTTCCCAGGGGAAAAATCCATGGAGTTTGGGGTGCCAGGGTCTGACTGAGTCAGACACATACTGAATTCTGGCTGCCCAGATCTCCTCCCACCTGGTGTGATCTGCAGTTGAGAATGGAGGCTTTTCCTTCCTTCTCATTGTCTCAGCCCCATAAAAAGTCTGGAGGGGGTGGCAGGATCCCTGAAACGAGAAGATTAAAATAAGCACCCAACAATGGTCCAAAGCCCTCTCCATGTGAATGCTTGGAGACAGTGGTAAGCACATCTGGGTTCAAATGCCGGCCTTGTCCCTTCCTACCCATGCACATATGGGCAGGTTCACTTCCCTGGGCCTGGGGTTCCCAATCTGTGCAGAAGGAGGTTGGCTCCTGCCAGCTCTGTGTCTTTTGGGCCTATGATCCACAGGTCCTCTTCTGCCCTAACAGAAACAGCTCTTCCCAGTCAGAGGCCAGACGGGGCATTCACACCTCCACCATTGCCCCTGGGGGGTGGGGCCACCCCCTCTACACTTTGCACCTTTCCTGTCACACCTCAACTGGACCTGAAGCAAGAAAGGAGGAAAGAAGGACTTAGCAGAACTCCCTAAATGTGCATTCCCAACATTACAGAGTGCTCTTCTTCAGAATCCTGTTTCTCGCCACCAAGTGTCTGACAATCTTGGCCAGCTCAAGTCCCAGTGGTGTTCTGTTCTGGCCCCACACCAGCTGTCTCTGTCTTGTCTGGGCTGGGTGCCAGGTCAAAGTCTCAAGCTGCCTACAACCAATGGGCTTGGCAGGGCAAGACTCCTGGGGGTTAGGTTCTTCCCGAATGAGCTTGCAGCCTCACTGTGGGGATGACAGACCCAGGCTTGAGGCGGGCCCTGCTTATTTTTAGGGCAGCTAGAAGAGAATAGTGGTTAGAGCTCTGGGCTTGGAGCCAAAATCTGAATGTGAATCCTGCCTTAGACACTAACTCTGAAACCCCAAGGCAACTCTCCTAATCCCACACAGACTCAGTTTCCTTATCTGTAAAGCCAACATCATAATAGTGAAACCTCTGAGAATTTCTGAGGTCAAGGGAGGGAGGGAGACACTCCCCATTGCTGGTGGCTTTACCTAAATAAAATCTCCCATCCAAATGGATGAAGTGTCTCTGGTCTTAAGGAAGATGGATCCCTCCACTTTGGACCTCAGACTATTTAGCATCCAGGCCCCTTTTCTCTTGGGATGTGAACCCTCAGAAGGCCCCGCCTCAAACATGTGTGTGCACTTGTATGTGCGCATGCATACACACACCTAGATCATATAAAGCTCACATAATCTATAATGGCTATACATCTGGCCTTTTTTTTTCCCTATTAGAGAGGTTCCATTTCTGGAATGTAGCCTGTAATTAGAGAGAACTCAGGCTATCACACTATACATAGATATGCCCAATGACACAGAAGGTGTGCCTGCACACACACACACACACACACACACACACACTCAGGAAGGGAGTGCTGGCTGGCAAAAATGAACTGCCCTCATGCTCTGGGGACTTCTTTATTCAAGTTACCTTCCTGATTTATTTCATGGATATTTATTTCATTAAATTCATGTTTTGTTTCTTTACCAAGCAGGGTTGGGGTTCAGAGCTTGAACTGTTCATGTGCTTTTTAATTTTTTTTTGGTGAGGCAATCGGGGTTAAATGACTTGCCCAAAGTCACATAGCTAGTGAATATTATGTGTCTGAGGCCAAATTTGCACTCAGGTCCTCCTGACTGCAGGGCTGGTGCTTTATCCACTACGCCATCTAGCTGCCCCCTATTCATGTGCGTTTCAGCACGGCATCAGAGCTTTTTGATGGAGAGCGGGAGAGGTTCAATCCTCGGACTCTATGGACCCTCAACCACAGACTTGGGAAAGGGGCAGGACACGTCTTGTATTCATTCTTCCCCAGGACTACACAGTCAATGAAAAAGCTGTGTCTTAAATCTGGCTCTGCTGCTTCCCAAAGCTGGATTCTTTCCTTCTCAGCACCCTCTGTTGTTCAGATTTCATCATCAGAACTGGGAAGCTCCATGAGGAGCCCGTGGAGAACAGTGGCCCCAGATGTCTGCAGATGAGGTGAGGGCCAGGATGCGCTGACTTCAGCACACAGACGCTAACTCAACCCCCATGCTGTCTGTCTTTCAGGAACCTCAGCTGCCAGAGGATCACACTGCATAAGAACCTGTTCTTCTCTTACGTCCTGAACTCTCTGTTCACAATTGTCCACCTGATTGCAGTGGTGCCCAACACTGACCTTGTGAAAAGAGACCCCGTAAGCATTGCATGTTCCTGAATTTACTTTGTAAGAGGTTGCTGTGAACAGGTCTTAGACCTGAGCCTGAGGGGATGGAGAATGCTTCAGCAAATGGAAGCTTTTAAACCCTGCCAAGCCCTGCCCTATTAAGACTTTCCCAATGTACCATCAGGGGTACCCTCTCTCATACAACTCTGCCTGAGAAGCTACCCCAGATCCAAGAAATTCTAGGAGTCCACATTTGCTCAAAACCATTGTGTAGAAGCCCCTACCAGCGTGTTTATATTTATACATCAGTACTAGGATAAAATTGATTCAAAGCAAAGGCATTTCACGAACTGGCACAGAGGGAAATTGTCAAAAGAGCATTTTCTCATCGACCTTGGACACACTCTCCCATACAGTCACACACCATTAGTAGGAAGAGGGGAAGCACCTAGAAAATACATGTTGAGAGACGTCCATTTAGAGAACATGCATGGCCAGGGTGTAATTGGGGAGGGAACATCACGGGCTCTATGTTGGAGGGTCACGGACATTTTCTGGTGATGTCATTGAATTGCTTACTCCATCCAGGTATCGTCTGCTAGATGTTCATCCACTGGTCTTTAATCCCTTCTCCCATTCATGTTTTTGTACCTCTGGGTCTTTTCTTGCTATTAATAACTTCCAGGAGCAGCTAGATGGCACAGTGGATAGAGAACCAGCCCTGGATTCAGGAAGAACTGAGTTCAAATCCGGCCTTAGACACTTGACATTTACTAGCTGTGTGACCCTGGGCAAATCACTTCACCCCATTGCCTCGCAAAAAAAAAAAAAGGCTATTAATAACTTCCTTGGAGCATAATCTGTAGTTGAAAGGATGTGAACAACTTAATACCTTTTTTTCATAACTGTACATTTGTATTTATTACAGTGTCTGCACCATAGAAAGTGCTTAACAAATGGTTGTTGACTAACTGGGGAAAAAAAGGAGTAAAGGACCTTAGATAGGATTGAAAGCATTTATCTAAAACCAAGAGCTGGCTTTGTCTGCAGGGGGGAACCTCTCCATAATATCAGGCTGAAGTAAAAACAAACAAACAAAGACCCTCCATTCTTTTTGAACACAGTGAGAGCAAGGCTGAAGGCACTAGCCTCGAAGTCTTCCGTGAAGTTCTCTTCAGCTATCTGCAGATGGCCCAGAGGACAGCTGGGCTAAGTCAGAGTTTCACCCAGCAGTGAGTTGGCCCACCTGTCTTCCCACAGTGCCTCCCGTGCTAGATTTGTAGTCGTTTCCAGCTTTGCAATTTTCATGTGAATGAGTCCATGTGTATCCCTGTGAAGACACTGGATAATTTTTCACACGGTTGTTGATAATTTGACTGTTGATAGTTGATATTTCTTCTTTTGAAAGCTTCCTAGTTTGGGGTCAGGATTACTGGAGAAAGACTCTTGCTCTTACAGATTTGTGTTAATCCTCTATAGGGTTTTTATTTCAGACCTTTATTAGAGAAACTACATGCAAATATTTTACCATCTATAGGGTTTTTTTTTCATTTAATTTACTTATGGTGATTTGATTTGTGCAAATGCTTATAAATTAGATAGAGGGAATTGATTTTACCTTTTATAATTGCTTCTACCCTGTATTTTTTTTAAATCTTCCCCTACTTATGGGTAATAATAAAATAATAATATCTACCATTCTTTTATAAGAATTTTGTTGTGGTAGCATTTTATGGATTGTTTATCCATTTGAAAGTTATGCTGGTATACGGAGAAAGGCGATGGTGTCAGACTTGTACATAAGGATGCCTGCAGGTCACATACTGACAGTTTTAAAATGTGATATTTTCTGTACTTTCATTTCTTTTGTGGAATAAACATTTCCCTCTAGGGAGGGCACTGGGGAGGGCTGCAGGTCTCGGCTGCCTCTGGAGTAAGAGGCTGATCTCAAGCTCTTTTCCGCTCAAGTGCTTCCCCCTTTCCCAGATGTTGCTGTCAAATGGGGTGTTTGTGTCTCTTGGAGTTTGTGCCCTTGGGTTTACCAAATCCTGGCTTGTTGTAGTGTCCGTGTCTAGGCCTTGCTTCTCTAATCTAGTTCAATAATTTCCTCAGCTGTTGTTTATCCAGTACAAGAAAATGTGGGTAATTACTGATTGGTAATAGAGCTGATGTCTGCCAAGTCAAATTCCATTCCTACTTTTTTCCATTATTTCACTTGATATTCTTGACCTTTTATTCCTCCATATCTGAAGGGGTTTTGTGGTTGTATTTACTACCACAACAAGAATACACATTTACTATGTGCCTGACACGATGCCAAGCACTGGGGATGCAAATACAACCTGAAGGAAAGACAGTCCCTTTCCTCAAGGAGCTTATATTCTAGGGAGGAAAGGGGAGGGAGGAAGGTTCAGTGGGGAGGGGCAGGGAGCAAGGCAGCCAGCGAGGTTGGGGCGATGGTAGAGAAAGTCTGGAGAGCAGCCAGAGGGGAATGACACCAGTCTCTTCTAGCTTAATAGGTTATTGTCAAATGTTTGGGGAATTTTGTGGATTTAAGGGGAATTCCCTTTCTATCTTTTCTCTGTTTGCAATGTACAGAAAGCTGACGACGTTGTAGATTTCTTTTGTATCCTGGGACTTTACTGGAGCTATTCACGGTCTCAGGAGGGGGTGGAGTTGGTGATTCTCTGGAATTCTCAGGCTGAATGTTCACTCAGCCATCTGCAGATACCTAAAGAGAACTTTGCATCTTCTAGGCCAACACTTGCTCCTTCGTTTCTCTTGCTTGTCTCACTGCTCTATTCAGCCTTGCTATCACTGTGTTCAAAAAGAATGGAGAGCACAGATTCTTTTTTTTTTTTTTGCTTCAGCCTGATATTATGGAGAGGCTTCTTCTGTTTCTCCATTGCAAACAAAGCCAGCTCTTCGTTTTAGATAAATGCATTCGATCATATCTAAGGTCCTTTACTCCTTTTTTTTTCCAGTTAGTCAACAACCATGTATTAAGCACTTTCTATGGTGCAGACACTGTAATAAATACAAAGAATACAGAGAGGGCAAAAAAAAAGGTCCCTGCCCCCCAAGGAGTTCACTAGTGTTTGCAGTTCTCAACAGATATTAATCTTCAATATTGGAGAGCAAGAAATCAGACTTCCTAGGAGTTTCCAAAATCATATTATTTTATTTTTTTATAATATTTTATTTACATGTTTTTAAATAATAATGAGTGACCATAATAATAAATAATGAATCATTTTTCTATGGCAGGGTTATAATGAAAATTTCAGAGAGTTTCTGAAAATATTTAATAATAAATGCATGACTTATTATTATGAGTCACTATATTGTGACAATGATTTAAAACATCTGGCAATTAGCTGACTGATTTCCTTTATTTTTCATAAAACACTTCCAAGATCCTTCATACTCTTTATTCACTGTTATGGATGTCTAAACAGTGTTTAATAAGAAATATTAATTTTAATCATATTTGTAAAAAATTGTAACCTATGACAAATAATCAAATAGTAGAAAATGCTAGGAATGATTACTGGATGGAATAAGTAAGCCCTCTCTGTTGGTGAGTCATTCTTGCAAACAAAATAAATATTAATAAGTATACGTGGATATTATACTTTATACAAATCCTATGAATAGTGCTCCAAGAAGTAACAGGTTTTGGAAGCAAAATAAGTCCTAAAGTTAGCCATTTTAACATACGATTCTGCGTAGCATTGTTCACCTTACTGGGAGATGTGAAGTTGGATTATATGAATCCTCTATATATCACTATTTCCCGCTTTTGCTTTTGACTTAATGTCAGTGGATTCTTTCAAATCAGCAATGTTTATTGTTAACCTTCAATTCTCACAGGAGAGTTATCCAATTTCCTGACATTTTTTTTCAGTGGGATTTGGGAGTTAGGAAAACATATAAATTTCCTAAGAAATACCAGGAAGAAATTCTTTCATGGAAACACTAAAGCTCACATTATGATGGGGGAGATAACTATACAGGATTGATGACATGTCATCTCACAGGGAAGGGATCCATGGAGTAAGAGGAGTGAGAAACTCTTCCTGAGGAAGGTGGGATTTTATTTAGTCTCAAAGTAATTCAAAGGCAGAAGCAAGAAGGGAAAGGATTCTAGCCAAAAGAGACAGTCAGAGACAAAGCAGGTAGTTAGGAGACAGAATATCATGTTCAAGAATGTGCGGAGCAGTAAGATACAAGAAACTGGAAAGGGGGGAAGAAGCCAGCTTGTGAAGGCTTTAAAAGTCAGACAGAGGAATCTCACTGGGTCCTGGCAGTACTAGGGAGTCAATGGAGTTTTTGAGGAGCATACTGACATGCTCAGATTTAGAAAGATCACTTTGGCAGCTGAGTGGAGGGTGGACTGGATTTGATACAAATGAGTATTGACTGTTGTCATCCCTTTTCTGTATCTATTGATATAGTTGTGTGATTTCCATTCTTGTCAGTAACGATTATTGTATTGCTTTCTTAAATATTTCAAACATTTACAACCGGAAGGAACATTAGAAGTTATCTAATATAAACTCTACATTTTACACAAGAAAACTGAGGCCCAGCAAAGTTGACTGACTTTCTCAAGGTTATACAAGTAGCAATCTTGGATTTGAAATATGTTCTCTCATCAAGAATGTTCTCATGGAGCACTCTTTCTACTGTTCCACAGTCAGTATTGGGCATTCTTGATTATTGAATTACAAAGGTAATGTGTTCATAATAAATATTTTTAACATGTAGCCACATCCTTTTGCTAATGACTTATTTACTACTTTAGTATCAATATTCATTAGTAATATTAGTCTAAAGATTTCTTTCTCTGTTCTACCACTACCAAGTTTGTGCATCAGGATTATATTTGTCTCAGAAAAGGAGTTTGATAAAGTGCTTCTTTCTCTATTTCTATGAGCAGTTTATGTTACATAGGGATTAGTGGCTCTTTAAGTGTTTAATTGAATTCATTTGTAAATGCATCTGGACAAGGAGATTTTTTCTTTGGG